AATATAGTAAAAATACTCACAAATGTCGTAAAACAACCACAAAAGTTTTAATTAGTGTTGTATAGAAATATAGTGGTAACAATAAATAAAATCAATGTTGTAAAAACACCTACAAAAGTGGTAAATCAACCATGAAAGTCGTTAAGTTTTTATTANATGTCGTAAAACAACCACAAAAGTTTTAATTAGTGTTGTATAGAAATATAGTGGTAACAATAAATAAAATCAATGTTGTAAAAACAACTACAAAAGTGGTAAATCAACCATGAAAGTCGTTAAGTTTTTATTATAAAATGACCTACAAAAGTTGTGAAAACATCCTTTGAAGACGTACATTTGTGAGATATGGTGCGTCCAATTTTATTGGCGATACCATACTCAAAACTTTAACTTAATGCATAGCAATAAAACTTGTCCACTTAATCCCATCCTCAATTTAATGTGCCTTAACTACTTGTAATTACCATTTTTGAGCTAATTCAAGTCTTCTTAGTGTGTTTGTGGGTTCCCATAAACCAACTCCAACAACCTTAAGGCTTCAATGCCTACCCTTGGATGAGACGAGAGGAAATTGTAAAGGTATCTCACACATGATCTCCACTATATTGAATGTCATTTAGTTTGAATAAATTAGAATGATTTTTCAGTTTGTTTTTGTTACTATAATACAATTACATGTGGCAAACGATAGTTCTTTCTTAGTACTGTAATCCATTATTTCAATATTTTCACTGTAGGTTTCACTCATCAAATGGATCGTAATAGCTTTGAAAAAGGAAAGCATGTCATTATAAACTTGAATGAGGATCCCATAGAGGGTGATATTTATGAGTTTGGTACCTATAATGATGATTATGGGCATCGTCACAACAAATTCCATCAAAATAGAGGTAAATCAACTGTGGCTACCTTGAAACATGTCATACTAGAAAATACGCTATAGAAGTTATCAGCTGAGCAAGTCATTGACTTGAAGTTTAACTTGGAAGATGAAGCGGGTAATTTTTATAACACATACGCTAAGTTTGTAGGTTTCAGCGTCAGAAAAGATGACTTAAAATATGAAAAAAAACAAAAACAAAAACATATTCCGGTGTCAAGGAAGTGGGTATGTTCATGACAAAGGTTTTGAGCTGCAAAATACTTAGACCGAGATGAAAGGGCAAGGGAACCAAGAGGACTAACTCGAGTAGGTTGTTTGGCAGTATTTTATGTTAAGTATGATAGTAAGTCAAAAAAGNTCATTGTTATTATCTGTCGAAGTACACACAACCAACATCCAGTTGGAATTTGATCTATGATTATCACAATCACACCTTCAAATGCAATTGCATGAAATTAGAATCTATTGGGCTTCCTTTGCTTACATAATATTACAGTTTTAAAAAAATGAACATATCAGAGAGTTTCCTCATAGTACTATTGTAAAGTGATGGACAATTAATGCAAAATCAGCTTGCCCAACTACCATTGTGTCTTAAATGTCAAGAACCTTGTCAATTTTTTTATGATATACTGGATTAATGTCAATGTGTAGCCAAATGTGTTATTACGCTACACAATTGCTTGAGGACGCAGAGGAGCTTTGAAGTACAATAACTGTGGTAACCAATCAAATGAAACAATGTAGTGATACACGCATGGCAGCACAAGTTTTATCATCACATCACAAAGTTAATGACACTGTCGAAATAAAATTTTGGTGTCGTCGATCCCAAGATAGTGACAACTAAAGGAAATATAGGTACAAAAGAACCTTCCAATAGCTTCGCGAAGATGTAGTAAATGTCATTTCACTGGACATACTATTCGTAAGTGTCCACAGCTTACATGTCATGTGGACGGCTCATACGATGACATGCCCTTCTCACAACTTGGTGGCTCCCAATAGCCAATGTCACCAACTCAAGAAGACGACCATTGGAATCCTACTTACAATTATAGTGTCCTCCTATACCAGGTTCATACACTATCACCTTTTCGTTACTATGGGAAATTCAGTACATACCAACATGGTTTTGATATCCATTTTTTTTAACAGCAAGTGATCCCTAATTTTGATTCAAATGTGCATGGGCAGTACATTAATACTTGTTTAACACAATGTTGAGGTGAGCATGACTACATGTGCTTTGTCATTGTCTTTTTTTATTTGGCACTAACTATTCCACGATTTCATTAGCATATTGTACTGAATACTTCTTGCAGTGTTATCATGTACGCATTTGGGCACTAGACAAATCTGGGATAATCAAATATAGCAGCTGACCACACAATGCAACTTTCTTAAGTAGCATGAAAGGTGTAGCCCCACACCCTTTTTTTCCTATATAGATGACAAGGGAAAAATGAATGAAGAAGCNAGCTGACCACACAATGCAACTTTCTTAAGTAGCATGAAAGGTGTAGCCCCACACCCTCTTTTTCTTATATAGATGACAAGGGCAAAATGAATGAAGAAGTTTAAACACCTCAATATGTTGTTTCCTCCTAATCCCACCTAATGTGCAAAGGTAAAATTTTCTCCAACTTATACATTATTTCATTGTTAAAATCATATAAACATGAACATACGCACAAAACTCACATTCAGTGTACCAATCTCAAAAACCATAAAACCACAATTTTTTTATAACTATTAGCCAATATATTTAACAACCAGGCTCATAACATTTACAACACACTTGCCAAAATATTCTTCTACTTTACAACAAAAAAAAACAAAACAAAATCAATGTATCATTTGTTGATGTACTCTTTAAAGTCTTTATAAAAACAATCTAACCTTGTCTCCAGACGTTGGGAAAACCCCTTCGTTTCTTCCTCAAACTTTTCAAATCAGGCCTCCAACTTTTCAACCATGTTATGAAGTTTTTATCCAACTACACTAGTCCCAGCGAAAGAACTAGCTTGACCACCCACAACTTGAGACACCATTGATGGCTGCTTCACAAGCTTACCCCGTTTTGCATCCAAAATAGCTCCCACACTTTTATTTAATGTATCCATACTCAATGCATTCATGGGATACATAAAACTATCATTCTGCTGAAAATCAACTTCACAATGCTTCAAAATCTTAGAAATTAAGATTGGAAGTGGAAGACATGGCCTGCAACCTTCTACCTTAGATGCTTCAAGAACATGGTTGAATATATAAAAAAGGTAGATCAATAAAAATCCCACATTCGCCAATAGCATATAATAGTTGGGTTGTATCATATCCAATCTCAATAGTATGTCCCTTTGGATGTATATTACAAGCAACAATGTAATTAAGATCCCATACGTTGATGTAAGGTCAATGTGAGCAATTTTACTTTTCTCATTCTCCCAAGGGACACTCCCAATGTAAATACCTCGAATAACTGTCGTCATTTGGGGGAACTACTACTTAGTTTCATATGGAAAGACAATAGAATTTGCAGGAATGTCTGATGTATCAATTTTTAATATATTTGAAATAAGATCATGCGATACAGTGATGGATTTCTTCCGAACCAATGACTTAAATGTCTGCTCATTCTCCTTGTACTCTTGAATCTTTGCATAAAATAACTTAACCAGACCAACATATGCTTTATCTTCCATATTCACATCAAACAGAGGATTCCATTTCCGAGTATGAAGTATTTAGGGCAATCCACATTGTCTACTAGACTATCGAGGTAAACACCACGCTCAAGTAACAAAGGATGTTTAACAATGAATGTATCATACATCTTCTTAAGATGTTTGTCCACAAAGAGTTTCACATTACAAGAACTCCCCCTACTCTTCACCTTCTTCCGTTTCTTCCTCTCTTCGCCCACCATCAACAAAGCTTCAAATTCGTACACAATGGAAATTTCACTCTTCTTTTACTTCACTTAAGGAGATTTGGGGTCTTGGTGAACTCGAACGCATGAAGGAGATCTAGGTAGTTGGGTGATTTAGGGTGTAATGGAATTGGGCGATTTGGAATGGGTTGGAATAAGCCACAATTTATGACTAATTTGAAGGATTTGGGGATTTATTTGGGTATGCTAATAACTTGATTTATGATAAAGCCCCAATCACAACACTTCTACTACTTACTGTTTCAGATTTTATATCGATCGATCATAACCCCACAGTAGATTATTCTACTACTTCAAGTACTAAATTTGCAACTAATTGATCGACCAATCAATATTAGTGATCAATCACAAACCCACATAATATTTCTAGTACTTCAACTAATACATCTGCAACTATATGATCGATCACTATATTTTTTTGATCGATCGAATTCAATTACTTTTCCTTTTTTATTTTTTTACACTACACGTTACTTTTCAAGGACATTTTAGTAAATTTACTAATTACTAATCTGTTATATTTCTTCCTCAATCGATCCAACCTGCAAAGTACTTATTACTTCTGATTCAAATTACCAACCCGTAAAAAATTGATCGACCACTAATAATAGTGTTTGATCAAATTCTTTATGTTTTTTTATGTTCAAAAATCCGTTTTCCTCACACTACACGTTACTTTTCACTGGCATTTAAGTAAAATACCATATAATGATCGATCCTAATTTACATAGATCGATCAACATGTACAATACTAACCAGATCTCCTCATTAATTACTATTTGCTGAATTTTGTTCTAAATATACCTTTAGTTTNTTTAAAAAAATGAACATATCAGAGAGTTTCCTCATAGTACTATTGTAAAGTGATGGATAATTAATGCAAAATCAGCTTGCCCAACTACCATTGTGTCTTAAATGTCAAGAACCTTATCAATTTTTTTATGATATACTGGATTAATGTCAATGTGTAGCCAAATGTGTTATTACGCTACACAATTGCTTGAGGACACAGAGGAGCTTTGAAGTACAATAACTGTGGTAACCAATCAAATGAAACAATGTAGTGATACACGCATGGCAGCACAANTGGGAAAACCCCTTCGTTTCTTCCTCAAACTTTTCAAATCAGGCCTCCAACTTTTCAACCATGTTATGAAGTTTTTATCCAACTACACTAGTCCCAGCGAAAGAACTAGCTTGACCACCCACAACTTGAGACACCGTTGATGGCTGCTTCACAAGCTTACCCCGTTTTGCATCCAAAATAGCTCCCACACTTTTATTTAATGTATCCATACTCAATGCATTCATGGGATACATAAAACTATCATTCTGCTGAAAATCAACTTCACAATGCTTCAAAATCTTAGAAATTAAGATTGGAAGTGGAAGACATGGCCTGCAACCTTCTACCTTAGATGCTTCAAGAACATGGTTGAATATATAAAAAAGGTAGATCAATAAAAATCCCACATTCGCCAATAGCATATAATAGTTGGGTTGTATCATATCCAATCTCAATAGTATGTCCCTTTGGATGTATATTACAAGCAACAATGTAATTAAGATCCTATACGTTGATGTAAGGTCAATGTGAGCAATTTTACTTTTCTTATTCTCCCAAGGGACACTCCCAATGTAAATACCTCGAATAACTGTCGTCATTTGGGGGAACTACTACTTAGTTTCATATGGAAAGACAATAGAATTTGCAGGAATGTCTGATGTATCAATTTTTAATATATTTGAAATAAGATCATGCGATACAGTGATGGATTTCTTCCGAACCAATGACTTAAATGTCTGCTCATTCTCCTTGTACTCTTGAATCTTTGCATAAAATAACTTAACCAGACCAACATATGCTTTATCTTCCATATTCACATCAAACAGAGGATTCCATTTCCGAGTATGAAGTATTTAGGGCAATCCACATTGTCTACTAGACTATCGAGGTAAACACCACGCTCAAGTAACAAAGGATGTTTAACAATGAATGTATCATACATCTTCTTAAGATGTTTGTCCACAAAGAGTTTCACATTACAAGAACTCCCCCTACTCTTCACCTTCTTCCGTTTCTTCCTCTCTTCGCCCACCATCAACAAAGCTTCAAATTCGTACACAATGGAAATTTCACTCTTCTTTTACTTCACTTAAGGAGATTTGGGGTCTTGGTGAACTCGAACGCATGAAGGAGATCTAGGTAGTTGGGTGATTTAGGGTGTAATGGAATTGGGCGATTTGGAATGGGTTGGAATAAGCCACAATTTATGACTAATTTGAAGGATTTGGGGATTTATTTGGGTATGCTAATAACTTGATTTATGATAAAGCCCCAATCACAACACTTCTACTACTTACTGTTTCAGATTTTATATCGATCGATCATAACCCCACAGTAGATTATTCTACTACTTCAAGTACTAAATTTGCAACTAATTGATCGACCAATCAATATTAGTGATCAATCACAAACCCACATAATATTTCTAGTACTTCAACTAATACATCTGCAACTATATGATCGATCACTATATTTTTTTGATCGATCGAATTCAATTACTTTTCCTTTTTTATTTTTTTACACTACACGTTACTTTTCAAGGACATTTTAGTAAATTTACTAATTACTAATCTGTTATATTTCTTCCTCAATCGATCCAACCTGCAAAGTACTTATTACTTCTGATTCAAATTACCAACCCGTAAAAAATTGATCGACCACTAATAATAGTGTTTGATCAAATTCTTTATGTTTTTTTATGTTCAAAAATCCGTTTTCCTCACACTACACGTTACTTTTCACTGGCATTTAAGTAAAATACCATATAATGATCGATCCTAATTTACATAGATCGATCAACATGTACAATACTAACCAGATCTCCTCATTAATTACTATTTGCTGATTTTTGTTCTAAATATACCTTTAGTTTTGTAATTATCCTCATTACTGTTTTACATTTCTTATTGATGTAAATATCTCATTACTTTTATAGTTGTTTTCACTAATGTTTAAAAATTTTCACTGTTGTTGTNTTTGTAATTATCCTCATTACTGTTTTACATTTCTTATTGATGTAAATATCTCATTACCTTTATAGTTGTTTTCACTAATGTTCAAAAATTTTCACTGTTGTTGCAATTGTACCATTATTTTTGTACTTGAACCCACTAATGTCGTTAATCTCGCAATTATTTTGTAAGAATACCATTATCGTTGTATTTGTGCCCATTATTGTGATAAATCCTATAAAAAAATATTATAAATATATCATTATCTTTGTAATTTTCCCATTGCTGTTCTAAATCTCCCATCCATCATTGTTGTAATTTTGTACAATGTAAGTGACCAACAAGTCAATCCAATTGCCTTGCTTTTGCTTTTACATGTAGCCTTTACTGCATCCTTCTACAGCCAAAATTCAGCCATTTTGCGGGCAACGGTTTTTGGTACCAAACCGAAAAGCTTATGGAATGTAACATAGTTTATTCCCTGAACTGTATTCCGTGCCCCATCAAGCATTTTTCCAGGCCTTTTGTCCAGTGTATTTTCTTGTTTGTCAGGAGATCAAAAAAGAATAAAAGTTCAACTCATTGTACTGATATTTCATGCCTGCGCACTATGCATTGATATCAAACGTCTTAACACAAAGTTCGATTCTCATCACGACCAGCTAATGAAGATATTCATTGCTCATAGTCACTAAGGTTGATAATAGAACTGAGTTTTGCGAGTTCGAATCGAGTTTGTCGAACTCATTTTTTTAAATGAATCTAAAAAATTATTCAAGTTCGGCTCATTTAGAAAATAAGCCGATCTCAAAACGAGCAGAACCTATACTGTGCTCGAGTAATTCGATTATTTTACATATAAACGAGACGAACTTTTTGAGCTCGAACTGTGCCTTTTAGACTTGTTTTGTAAACAAGTTTAAAAAATTACTCAAGCTCGACCTGTTTAGAACACGAGTCGACTTAGTCGAGCTTGAATTGAGTCATATTTGAATTGAGCCTGAGTAACTCGGCTCAATTATCAGCCCTACAGATAACCAATGACAGTCTCACGTGGTGTATATCTATACATAATATATAATAATGTAGTTCGTTGGGATGAGTTTTAAAACACTATTTCAATTTTCTTAATTTTTTTTTTATTTTCTAAGATAATTTCTAAAATTCCCAACTATTAAACCCCATCCAATTTTCTTGAATTTTGTATTTTTTAAATTGGCAAATTTGATTTGGCTTTTTTTAAATAACTTAACTCTTAATTAATAGGATAATTCATAAAATTCCTCAACTGTCCCAATTTTTTCTCTCATAATTTCTGTTTTTCCCGTCTCTTTCTCATACACATACTCTATTTCCTCTAAATATATATTTACTCCATACTATAATATTGAATTTGGAAGAGAGGATACTTAAGAAACTTTCTCTTAGCAAGTGAAATCCCGCCCCAATTTTCTTTAATTTTTTAATTTTTTTTTTTAAATTATCAAATTGATTTGGTTTTATATCATTGATCTTTTTTTGAATAACTTAATAGGATAATTCCTAAACTTTCTCGAGTGTCCCAATTTTTTACTTTTTTCATCTCTCCCTTTCCCGTCTTTTTTTCACACATATACTCTCTACTACATATTATAACAATCGATTTAGAAGAGATGGTGCTTATGAAACTTTCCCTTGTCAAATACTAGATTTTTTAATTTTAAATTATTTAATGCCAATGCGTTGATCCCATCAAATTGGATCATTTCATATGCTTTATGTAATTACTCCCACAAAACTATTTTATTTCATTCTCCTTAATTTAGCACAGAGTAATATTCCAAAAATACTAGGGTCGGGGTAGGTGTGGGATGAGGAGTGGCAATAAGGGGTGAAGGTGAGGGTGGCGGTGGTGGAATTGTGATGGGAGAGATTAAAAATATTGTGCATCACACGGGGCGTCGCTAGTTATCCATAAATTGTTGTATATGTCCCATCAATTATTGTCACTTGTAAATTATCAAATTTTTTTTTTTAAAAAATATATCAATTTATGTGACTGATGAACAAGTGTTATATTAATTTTTCGTTGAATTTAGACACCACGTGATCAATTATGTATTGACTTCACAACTAAAGAAAAAGAAAAAGTTTCTAACTTTCTGGACTCGAAACTCATCTTTGTAATAATAGCTACAAAGCATTTTAAGGCACAAAGTAAATGCACTTTATAGCATGTATTGTATACTAGGTTTTGTATTAAGCAACTTCTTCATAGGTGGGCTTAAGTGTAAATATAATTCAGTATGCTTCACGCAGGGGCGGATTTAAGAAGGGTAAGGGCCCACCCTATGGATTTCATGTATAGTTCACAATTCATTTGCGATTCCATGTTTAGTCATTTTATGGTGTAAGGATTTTTTGATATTAACTTTGATTTCTACATTTATGAGTTTTTGTTTTGTGTGTTTAATTTGAAAGTAAAATTGGTAACAATTGTCTTGCAATTAACCTACATTTTCTACACTATGTGTCTCCATTCTATGCGACGGTTGATTGTTGTGTTTGTTGGGAAAAGGTTTGGTACGGAAAAAACTTTTAGACATNTATGAGTTTTTGTTTTGTGTGTTTAATTTGAAAGTAAAATTGGTAACAATTGTCTTGCAATTAACCTACATTTTCTACACTATCTGTCTCCATTCTATGCGACGGTTAATTGTTGTGTTTGTTGGGAAAAGGTTTGGTACGGAAAAAACTTTTAGACACCATCATCTTACCCAATAAATTGATTATATATATGTATATATAAATTGTTTAGTGTCAACTACAAAAGGATTAATTGATCTCGATTTTGCAAAAGGGGAGAGAGAGAGAGAGAGAGGGGGATACAGCTTTAGTATGGTTTTTTTGGAAACATGTTGAACTGCATAAGAACTTTTTAAGGGGAAATTGAAGAATATATCAAAATATTTATAAGAATTTAAAAAAAAAAAAAAAGTGCTGATCAGTAGGGGCAGCAGTATGTGTAGGGGTGTCTATGGGCCGGGTTACCCACGGGTCCCGTTATCCGGCCCAAAAATATAGGCCCAAAATCCGATAGTTGGTCGGCCCGAGCCCAAGCCCAATATCTTTTAAAAAATGACTTGGGTTTACCCCTAAACCTACTAACCAGCCCGAAAACCGAAGCCCGGCCCAATATCCGCCAACATACCCGGCCCAATACCTGCCCACAANCCATGAATTTTCTAATATGAGTACAGAGTCAAGAGAGCTACTACGGTACTCAAGGAGATAATGTATCAAAAGTTAAATTTTTTTAAAATGAAGTTACAATATTCGGTGTAAGTTACAACTCAAACCCATGATCGAGGACAAAACATTGTAATCAATCAAGAAAAATATAACTTTTAAAANACTTTAACCCTAAACACAATATATAAAGACAATACTAGCCTTATTTAATTTAGAACTCATTTTAATAAGACTAGATTGATGTTAAACTATTAATTGGACAACTTGACTCTCACAATACTAACATTATTAATATGAAATTTATATTAATAAAACTTCATTAATATTACACAAAGTCAAGGTTTTCATATTCTTTCTTTTAATAGATAAAAATGAATTGTTAAAATAATTAAATTTACTATTATTTATTTCTATCT